TATTATTAAAAACTTTATTTAAACTTAATTTTAACGAATCATTAGTTTTAATTACATCTAATTTTTACAACTTTTAAGCTGATAAAGTTGATCGAACTGATAAAACCAATGAAATGATTAAAATTACAATTTTTACAAAAATACACGTTTATTATAGGGAAATTCTATGTGCAGGGCTCAAATGCAATCTGACGCAAAATTTTTTTTTTTGTAATTGTAGCTTAAGAGTTCTTCTACAACATGCATGTATTGGTGTAATCGTAATATTGCGTAATTTTGAGTTAAACTCTTTAAAAAACAATGTAAAATAAGTATTTGCATTTTTTTGTGTGTAAAAAATTATTAAAATTAAAAAAAAAAAGAAATAAAAATTTTTTCTTAGTAAATTTGAAAGCCGATGACTTTTTAAACATTTTAAATTAAAAAAAAAAAAATTAAGGTTTTTAATTAAGCAGGAAAAAATGATTGAAGAAATAATAAAAATCCTAGAAAAAAAACAAAAAAATACAGTGTTATGATATTTAAATAGCACCCAACCATTACTATATCAATTTTTGGCCTTGAATTTTTGTACATGACCTTATAAGGATATAATAAAAAAAATTTGCTAAAAAAAAAATTTTTATTAGTTGATTTAAAAATGGTACTTTTGGCCGGCTAAATTAGCGTTTGGTCCCACTGTGCGACGGTCTAGTCTCAAGGTCATAGACGACGGCATACGCGACATAATAACACGTGCCGCGTGGAGTTACAAACTTACAACATACAACATACATGTGAAACTAATATAAGCGTGTTAAAAAGTGTTACATAGTTAATAATTCAAGTATAATGTGTAACTAAAGATAATAATAAAAAAAAAATTTTTAATTATTATTATTCTGTAAGTAATTGAGTGGGTTATGATAAAAAAATCACCCTGTATATATTAATATTAGCGGCGGCGGTAGGAATATATAATCTTCGCATAATATCGCGGCACTGTCGCTGGCGTCGACGACGCGATGTCCGGCGTGATCCTCGGGCGTCAAAAGGTTAGCAGCGTTGATAGCGACGAAGCGCGAGTGCGGATCGGTTCGTCGACGTAGCAACTTTGACAACGGGAAGAAGACTACGGTATCATTAGCGGCGGGACGTTGTCGGCCGTGCGGCACTTGCTGGACTTTGCACCGCGGCGTATAACGCACGGTGTTGGTTAGTCAAATACTCATAGTAGGGCGACGGGCTGATAACGGTGAAACGAGTCGCGGGGCATCATTTATAACGAAGCGACGCGGGCCGTGTCAGTCAAAATAAAATTTTATTTATATATATAATAACACATGCGCGTCTACGTTTGGAAAATATTATTGTCGACGATTAGTGAGCGGGGTGGGGTGAATGCGTTACGACCGTCTAGTCTCAAAGCCGTAGACACGTGCGTGTGGAAAGTTACAAACACACAGCATACATGTGAAACTAATATAAGCATGTTAATAAAGTTTTTAAAACTTTTGAAAAATTGATAGAATGATGTTTTTTTGGTTTTTAACATATCTAGAAATCAACAGACAAGCTAATTTTTTTTTAATCAAATTAATTAATCAAAAGTATAGCTATAGTACAAAACCAATTTAAAATAAATTCATTCATTTTTGACTCTACTACATAATTTTGAAGTATGGGTAATAATAATTATGGGTATTTAGTAGGAATGTACGTAGTCCACCCATTCTAAAATTAAATACTACCTCGGGCAATCGTTCCATATCACCTTGTTCTAATCTTGATGTAACATCATTATATACATTCCAAAGCCATGTTGCAGCAAACCTAAATGCAATACTAGTAGCTATGACTGGAAATAATTTAAATTGTTGCGTTTGATAATCTATAATTTGAGGTTCACGTTCTCTAAAATAGTATACATTTTTTAATTAATTTAAAGAAAAAAAGATATACATAAAATGTTTTATTAAAAATGTTTATACCCAGGTTTTAGTTCTGATTGTCTTCTAACAGCACTATATCTAGTTGCTATTGTAGCTGCTTTTGCCAAATAATTAACAACTAAATCTCTTACAATAGCTACACGCACAAATATCATGGTACCATAAGTCAATTTATCACTCAATGATTTTTGATAAGTTCCATCCTAATAATAAATTAGTAAAAGAACATTGGTTAACTAAATTTCATGCAATAATTTGAGTCGTAAAAATCGATCAATGAGGAAAAATAAGCTTATTTATTAAAAAAATATTGAAAATTTTAATCACTTTAACCCTTAAGCAGGCGCGTACCTATTTTTAACGTTCATAGTCGCGTGGGGGTTTATTAGACCCCATTTCTAAAAAAGTATAAAATATGTATAAAAAAGTTCATTTTTTTTAATTCAAAGACATTATTTGTTACCATATGATATATAGATATGCATAACAATTAAAAAATTAAAATTAAAAAATAAATAAATGACAAAATTATGTGCATTACTAAAAATTATATTACAAAAAAAAAATAAAAAAACTTAATATTTTGTTTTGTAAAAAAATTATTTTAACTGAAAAATCTTATTTTTAAGATGGTAAATAAAAGCTTTTACTAACAAAATGTATTTTTATTAATTCTTCTTGTATTTCTTTGAGCTCAAACATGGTTTATATTTACTAGTTTTATGTGTATTTACATTTACATAATCATTTTTCTGAATTTTTTTTTATTAATATTACAATACAATTTAATTATTATAATACGAGTAGGGTTAGGAGGGGTAAATGTGAATAGTGGTAATTGTAAATAAGGCACCGATAATCAATGTGACCACATTGCGACGGGATGTATTCATTACGTGTTTAGTTCGTATTTGTTCCGTAATATCGAGTAGTGGAAATTTTCAATAGATTATTTATTTTTAGAACTTAATTGCACAGATGGTGGCAGATCCACATAATCCCAATTCCACAATATTATATCGATTATAACATTGCATTTACGATAAAACAATATTTTGAAAATATACAAGTCCAAAAAAAAATTATAACGTTCATAGTCGCGAGGGGGCCAATATGACCCATTTCAACTTTGATGGATATTTTAATTCATACATTTTTTTTTCGAAGGTATTTATTTATGAAAATCTATTCAATATTACTATAAAAACCATCTTCTAAATTTATAACTATGTACACCTTTTATGCAATAAAATACATCGGTTTTTATTTATGTGGGGGTATGCTAGATCCCCCACGCGACTGTTTAAGGGTTAATCATAAATAAAAATAATTTAAAAAAAACAAAACGATGGAATAATATCATATTTATATTTTTAACATTAAAATCAATTAGAAATTTAAATCACTAGTAAGAAAATTTACTTTGAAAACTTTAGCATTTTTCATTAACATATTCATTCTTGGAATTCTGACTTGATCAAAAGCTAAATAACCATTATTTGTTGAATTCATACCAAATTTGCTACCAATTTCGCCAATTTTAATCCCTTTATTATTCAAAAATATAATGAAGCATTATTATAATCAACTTATTAATATAACAAAAATTCTCTTTAAAGTACCAGGCATTGGCATCCATGTTTCTTCATCTCTAATTTGAACAATAAATGGATGTATACCATGACATTTTCCTTGAGTATAAAGTTGAGCAACAACAACTGCATAATTACAGGTATGTCCTACTGTAAGAAAGATATACTATTAATAATTTTGATTAATTTTTAACAAATTAAAAGTTTCTTTTTAATTTAATAGACCATTTGTTCCATTTAGTTAATATATTTTTTAACAATCAACTTACATCCACCTGGCCACCATTTATATGATGTTAATGTGGGACTATTTAACACAAACTCCTCTGTGGATGGATCATATGTACAAGTAGTTTCTAAGCCACGAATGAATGTTCCATGACCAAGTTCAGTCTAAAATAGAGATAAATTCTCAGATAACTAGTTACACAGAACTTATTTTGTAATTGTATAATTGAAATATTGTGATGTATAATAAAGCATGCATGCATCTCACTCAAATTACTTAATTATTTCAAAGGTTAAAATGTATTAAGCTTAAAGCTAAAAGGATTATAAAATGACAATTTAGAAAAAAAAAAAATCACTGTGGACTTTTTTAACTATGATGCTATTTATCATCAATTCTTTAAACCAACTGCTATTTGATTACAATTTTTCAATTCAAATAGCTTAGAATTAATTTTTTGCTACTTTAATTCCATTTTCTATAGGTGCCTCATTAAGATATTTTATATAAGAAATAATTTAAAGGGCACAACAAATCATTTTTTTACTAGTTTCCAACAAAACATATAAATAAAATTTATTTACCCATAGGTATTTGTAACTAACTAAATTCAAATAGCAATACATTGTTAGTAAAACTGCTACACAGATGACAGTGATATCAAATGAACAGACATAAAATTCCTCACAAAACACTAATAATAAATATATCAATAAGTGACTTGTGCTTATCTCATAAAATACACCCAATTATTATTCAGTCTAACTTATTTCAATCATTTTTCATTACATGCAGTCTTTAAATGCATCAAGCTATTTACTATCCTCCGTAAAAAAGGGAAACTCAAAATACAATTTTAATAATACTTTTCCATTAATTTAATCATATGTTACATTTGAAATCAATTAGGATTTCTCATAAAAATTATCTATACAAATAAAAAAAGGCAATTGAGGATTTGCTGCAAAAACAAGATAACTCAATATTTTCTAATTTTAAAAAGAACGTTAACAGGGATGCACTGGTTTACTGTGCTACAGCACAGTAGGCCAAATAACATTATGCCAAAAACTGAAAAGCAGACAGCCGCCCCGTAGAATATTAACAAGATGCCGTGGCTGAGATTTTACAACATAATTATTTGTTTTTACTTTTATTTATTTGAAAAAATTAATTTTATTTTTAATAGACAACAAAAAGTCAGATAATTATATTTATAGATGGATATATATATATATATATATATATATATATATATAGTAAAATGTTTTGTAGGACCTAAGTAATTTTAAGTAATTAATATAAGAGAACTGACATAACTAAAAAAAAATTTATAGGGAGTTATATAATTGGGATTTTGGAAATGATGAAATTTTTCTTGAAATATTAATTAAATAGCACAAAAAAATCAATTCTTGATATAGTTAACATTGCTAAAAAAATTATAAAATAAATAATTGCATAAACAAAAATTTTTCTAATACAATGGGTCAAATACATCCCAGCCCGTCCCTGTGTCATAAACGAAGTTGTATACTTTCATATAACATTACAATGACACTTGTAATTTTATTTTTTAAAATGGTTAAAAAGTGATAATTTTTGTTGGTATTAAATTTAAAGATTATTTTTTTCCGCAGCATAATCCATAACACCCCAGAGTGGGTTGGGTTGGGTTTTTACTTATTTTTTTTGCAGCAAACCCTTCAATTTTTATTTATTCAAGAAGACTATTGGTGTATATTAGAAATTACTAAAATGAAAATTTAAACAAATAAATGTATAATAAATAAAATTATTTTTATATTAATTTTTTAAATAGTTCATTGACAATAATATTTGTTATCAATCTTAATTAGTCTGGATACATGTGTATCTAAAATTTTAAAAATTATGTGCATTTAATCATAATAAACCTTGAAATATACATTAAATTATGTTGTTAAAATTAATAACATGTAAAAATGATTTATTATTGACTAATAATGCTTTATTAATTTATATGCAAAATAGTTACTTAAAATAGATTTCACTTACAAAATTAGGGATACTTATTAAGGTAGTAGCTAAAATTATAGAGAGAATAAACAATTTCTTATATTTTAGTCTAACTTTACTTTGATAGATTTATATTTACTGGTATTTAATAGTAAATTCATTACAATGACATTACTTTAATTTTTGAAAGTTATTTTCAAACCATTTCAATAAATTTAGACACTATTGAAAATCCAATAGACTTTTAATAGTACTGTAAGATCTAAGATTATTTGGGGAAGCTGATACATTAAAAAAATAATTAATTTGTAACTAATTATACCATTTGTTTAATTACACTACGAGTATGACTATAAATAATTATAGTACTAAAATAAATTATCATTTTTTTAATTGGTTATTGTTTATCTCTATAATATTATTTTATGTGCTTATTATTCATATTTTTTATATCTACAGTAATGCTTATTATATAGTTACTATAATGATTAATACTTGACAAATAATAATACTAATAACAGGTTTCGAAGCCAATATTAAAATAACTTAATTAATTAATTTGAGTAATTTTTTTTAGATATTTTCTATCACCACAAACAATTATATAGTTTAATATTTCTTTAAACACAATTAAATGACCTCTAATAGAATTACATTTTATTATTAAGAACAAAAAAAATGATTCTCTAACAAAGATATTTACTTCTCAAACTAATATATTTTACTTATAAAATGACTAATATAATTTATTCTTGTATAAATAAAATAGCTTAAAATTTTTGAAAGCAAAATTATTTAAATAAATTAAATGATTTTTTTAAACTGTTAAACATTTAAAAATTTGAATGACATTATGTAAAAATCAACAATCACACATTTAAGATTCTACTTTATAGTGTATTTTATTTTATAATAGTTAATATTTTCATAGATATAATCAAGTTAATTTTTGAAACATAAATATAGCGTAATATGTAATGGAATATTGGTTTAGTTTTAGTATGTAAAATATACAATATGACATTTTCTAACAGTTTTAAATAAAAGATTGTTTTTTATTTATTGTTGGATGGTTGCTTTTTACATAACAACACATTCAATTAATAATCTTATAATATTATAATAATCTTAAATATTATAATCTATGACACTATTTATTTTTATGTTGTAAATTAATAATTATAAGTAACTTGAATTACCTGAGCATATGTTCCAAGAATTTGGTTACTAAAAGCTCGACTGATCCATTTGCCTTGTTGTTCTAAAGTACCTTGTCCCATAATAGTTGGAATAAACATGACATAATGCACAGAAAATGGTGTTCCGTCTTTAATAACAGCACTACCAAGTAAACCTCCTAAGAGTGCTCTACATCACAGATAATAAAAACTTTTTAAATTATTGAGAAATTTCTTCTGTATAAATTTATAAATACAAATTTTAAAATTTACAAGTTAAATATTTCAGGAAATATAACACAAACTTTTTTTTATGCTACAAATTAATACAAAAAAAAAACCCCAGCACAGGGGGGTCGCGGCACAGTGGTGACGTGGCATAGATGGATCAAGTATAATGATATCTGACAGTGATTAAAATCACTATAAAAAAAAAACGCTTTGATGCAAATCTTTAGATAGTGTTTAATTTTAAAAAATTGGTGGATTATTCCAAAAGCTTCATAAACTGCTAGTTCCTTATTAATATCCTGATTAAGACAAAGTATGTCGAATAAAAAAGAGATTATTAAAAAATAGTATTTCCCATAAAAAAATTATATTGATCAATACACTTTTCAATAAGTTATAGCATTATAATGTTAAAAATGTAAAAAATAAAATTGAGAATTTTCACACAATAATAGCATTTGGTAGCCATTTTCACCTTGAAGATAAAATAAAGTCCGAAATTTTTTTTTTCCATGATAAAGTATATTACATTAGCTTTAATTTAAGATATATATAAAAGTGTCAGACTTTCCGGAACACTTTCAAAATTTAAGTTGAAAAAGTCAATTTTTTGTGAAAAAGTTGTCATTTTGAATCCCCCCCTGTAGGCAGGTAAAAAGTCAGATTTATAAAAAAAATATACCAAATGATAGGTAAAGACATCATGCATCTACAAAAAAAAAGAATTATATTGATCCATACATCTTTCAAAAAGTTATAGCATTATAAAGTTAAAAATATAAAAAAGAATTTTTTTACAAAAATCGTATTTTTTTTATAAACTTTGATGTCTGTTTTCACCATGAAGATAAAATAAAGTCCGAAATTTTTTTTTACCATAATAAAGTATATTACATTAGCTTTAATTTAAGATATATATAAAAGTGTCAGACCTTCCGGAACACTTTCAAAATTTAAGTTGAAAAAGTTCTACTTTCTACATGCATTTTTTAGATTTGAACCCCCCTCGTATATAGGGAAATGGTCCGATTTAAAAAAACAGTATGTCAAATGAAAGATGTATATGAATACTACTCCTCATAAAAAAATTGTACTGATCCATACATTTTTCAAAAAGTTATAACATAATAAAGTTAAAAATGTAAAATACAAAATCGAAAATTTTCACACAAAAATAGCATTTGGTAGCCATTTTCACCGTGAAGATAAAATAAAGTCCGAAATTTTTTTTTTACATAATAGAGTAAATTACATTAGCTTTAATTTAAGGTATATATAAAAGTGTCAGACTTTCCGGAACACTTTCAAAATTTAAGTTGAAAAAGTAAATTTTTTTTGAAAAAGTTGTCATTTTGAATCCCCCCTTGTGAGCAGGTTAAGGGTTAAATTTATGAAAAAAATATACCAAATGAAAGGTAATGATATTATGCATCTATATAAAAAAGAATTATATTGATATGTTCAATTTTGAAAAAGTTATGGTACTTTTATGTAAAAAAAAATTGAAAAAATTTCGAAAATTAGCGATTTTTAAATTCGTAATTTTTTTGGAGGTTTCCCCCATTTACGGGGAACGAAGGAATTTTTTTCAATTTTTGAAGGTAATGTCTTCGACTAGATACAATTTGTGTTCTTTTGACGTATCATTGATAGAAATCGGTTCAGTGAGAGCTGAGAAAAAGTGGTAACAGACACAAAAAAAAAAAAAAAAACGCATCTTAGTAAAACCAATACCTTCTCAGCTTCGCATCGAAGCTAAAAGAAACAGAAAAAAAAAAATAGAAAAAATTTTATACAAGTGTCCAATTTCAAATGTCAAGATATTATTTTATATAAATCTTAGACTCTTTTAATATATTTAACAATCTAATATTTACAGAGAACAACTAGCATATTTTTTATATTATTCCAAACTTTCATAGATAATTTTTTATGTATATAATAAATTTTAACATACAAAATTTATTTATAAATTATAATTTAAAAAAAATTTTAATTAAAAGTTATAAATACTGTATTTAATTTATACTAACTGGTATATATCAACTGATCCCCCAGTATTATCATCTTGTTCTTGCCATTCGGTTATTTTTTTAAAGAGTATACAACTTTTTCGTACAGCATGTTCATATCGTTCTTTATGACTTAAATATTCCATAGGAATATCATCTTTTAATCGTGCATCAGACAAGAAAAAAGTTTCTATTAAAAAACATTGATTAAAATTAAATAATATATGTTGACTTAATGTTTAATGTCTTGACAATATTTGGGTGTTATAAAAAAAAACTTACAGTATATTTTAAAAATCAATATAATTTTAAAGTATTATTGAGACAATAACATGAAAAAGGTACTATGTACATAACACAAAAAAAAAAAAAAAATATATATATATATATTTTTTTGTTTTATAAAAAATGTAATACATACACACATATCTTAATAATCTGGTTGAAAAACCGTATCTTATTTTTGTAAAGAATAATAAATCTGTAGAAAACAAACATTTTCATTATAAGTCCACGCAGATTAGATAAACTGTTATTATCTTCTCATCTAAATTTAGTTTTAGTGACCTAGTACTATTCATATATCATTGTTTCAATTGAAGGACACGATGCAATAACTGGGTATCTTAATTTTTTGAAATTATTCAGGAAACACAAAAAACTAAATAACTTTTGTATTAAAATCGGAATAGGCATTTATATGTTTTGGTGTTTGCTTTCCAAGTGAGTGGATAAAAGTCACACCAAAATGTTGAAAAATGATTCTCTTTAAAAAAAAAAAAAAAATAAAGAAATAAAGATAACCAGTTATTGAACTTCACCCTTCAATATTAAACTTACAAATATCTTGATCAACAAAAAATTCCTAAGGTGAAGATTTTAACAACAATAAAAAACTTTCAGCTAACCTAATTTTCTTCTGGCTTCAGTCTTGCTAGTACCACCATCTAAGAAATTTGTAAGCTCTTCAACATTAAAAGTGCATTTCAAACGTTCATTCTTTAGATCCTCATTAATTGTTGATTTCATTTTGGGCAAAAAATTGTTGAACATTTCTTATCTAACTACTTTTGTAAATATATATTAAAAATTTTAATCAAAATGCCACAAAAAATAATACAATTTATCAAAAAAAAAAAATATATTTTTAATTTATTATTTTAAATCATATTTCTAATTAGTACAACTGAAAAACCAATACAGCAGTAATATTCAGAAACTAGAAAATTAATGAAATTCGTGATGACAGCAATTTAAGAATGAATAGTAGTATTAATAAATTATAATTTATGTCAAAAGCAGAAGGGGAAGCTTGTATTTCGCAATTGTTATCAAGATTACAATTTAAAATACTCGTAGTTGTACTTAGTACCTACTACTTTAAACTGACTACTCACAAATATAAAAGCAAGAATGGCAGAATACGTCAAAGTAAATTTAATATATGGCCATTGCTACAACGTTAACATTTACAATTTCACTTATAATATTCATAAGTATTGATAGTCTGTTATAAGAGATAATTATACCATAAGATTTCGCCACTATTGATAAGAAATATTATCAAAAATAACATGTCCGTGAATTTAGCACCCGAAATTAACTGATAAGTAACCATTGATAAGAATTTAGTAACCATATTGGTTAGTTATGAACATTAGGTTGCAGAACCCGCTATTATCAAGGGGTTTTCTATTTAATAATTTTGAATTAAAAGTAATTGATAGAAATCACTAAATTACTATATGCATTATTTTGTATTATTTATTTTATTTTGTATGGTCAGACATCAACGACAATAAACTAAATGAATTTTTGAAATATTTCATCTTTTCAATGGTATAAGATTTAGTCACCAACAAAGTGGGCAAGTGACTAAAAAAATTAATTTCCGTGAACATATACGACGATTTACGATATATGATTATACATGTGTATAAAATTTCATGGGGGCATGTTCCCATCATTTGTACCCCTTGAAATTAAGTTTTTCTAATAGCAAATTTTGTGGGCTTTTCAATGGTATAAGATTTAGTGACCAACAAAGTGGGCAAGTGACTTAAAAAATTAATTTCCGTGAACATATACGACGATTTACGATAAATCAATATTCCTGTATATAAAACTTCATGGGGGGGGTACGTTCCCATCATTTGTACCCCTTGAAATTAAGTTTTTCTAATAGCAAATGACACGACTTGCATCGCAAAAATGTGGTCGACACTGGTTTTGAGGGTAGAGACCCGTGGGCCGTTTATTAAATGAGCGACAACAGATTATGTTAACAAAAATAAAACAAACCGAAAAGATAAACACAGTAATAATAATCTTCGCATAATATCGCGGCACTTTCGCTGGCGTCGACGACGCGATGTTTGGCGTAATCCTTGGACGGCAAAATGGTTAGCAGCGTTGTAGGCGACGGTGCGCGGGTGCGGTTCGGCTGTCGACGTTGTCGCTTTCACAACGGGAGGAAGACTCTCGCACCATTTGCGGCGGGTCGTCGTCGGCCGTGCGGCATTTGTTGGACTTTGCACCGTAGCGTATAACACGCGGTGTTGGTCAGTCAAATACTCATAGTAGGGCGACGGCTGATAAAGGTGGCACGAGTCGCGGGGCATCGTGTATAACGAAGCGACGGGGACCGTGTCACAAATTTTGTGGGCATTTCAATGGTATAAGATTTAGTGACCAACAAAGTGGGCAAGTGACTTAAAATTCACAATTATTAACTAATTTATTAAGTCTTTTGTATTACTAATACATTTTTAAATGATTAAGTACTTACTGGTTTATAATATATGTACCGTGAAAAATAAATTTACTTTACTTTATGGGACGATTTATTTTTACATGGATGGATTTCATTTAAACCGGATTAAGGGCTTACACCCGTGGGCCCACGACCTTATAGAACCCATCTCGAATTTTACTAGCCTAGTTATGAATAGTGACAGAGTTTTTATGGTTTATTATTTTTTTTTTTTTTGCTTATTATTTTTTGTGGTAGCGATGTTTTCCATAGAAAAATAATATAGCATAATATTGAGTTTTTTTTTTAATTTTTGAAATTGAGATGATTTTTGCAAATTTTTCGCGCTAATAGTCCAGTGAGATCTGAGAAAAAACGCATATCATAGTAAAACGAAAATTTCTTAAATTCACATAGAAGCTAAAAACCCAAAATTGTACAAAAAAAGATTATAAAAAAGATCGTTTGTCGTTTAAAACTATAAAAGGGCTTTTCTGATACTGTATCATTAACCTTCCCAGGACTTCGGTGCATTATTGTGTATCTATATATTTTTTTAATGAACAATAAGGTTGCATTAATATTGAAGAATTTTTTTTTATTTTGTCCTATTATATGTTGTTGAAATTCATTTTAACCTGTTTTTTATAATTTTCTAATAATTAAAAAAATTAATTAAGATCTGAAAATTTCAATCACACCATATTTTTATACGCTAGAAGTTACTAGAATTGACTGCTAAGCTTTCTATTAAAATTATCTATGACGATATAACTGCAAAAAAAAACGGTAACTAACGAAATCGTGAACCTTTCTCATAAATATACTAATAATAGTAATTATAAATGTTTCTAATCACATATCAATCTAAACAATACCATTTCTTAAAACTTCATAAAATTTACAATTTAATGATGGTAATTTTTAATATTAAAATATTGAACCTAAAAAAAAGTTCTGTTATTAAATTCAACGTTTTAAAAATAAATTTTCGTAAAATCAACTTTAAGATACTCAAAAATTGGCCTAACATGATGTCATCTTTTTTTGGAGGCTACATTATATTATTGTACATTTGTAACACTGTTTAATTTCTACTCCGCCATATTTATTGAACGTTGTAATTAAAAAACATATTTTTCCATTCATTTCTACGTCTTGTAATCTTGTCGGAGCACGTAAGTATTTATCCTGCCAATTTTAATTACATTTCAATTATTTTTAACTTTGTTTGAAATCATCGATATTTTCCTTTTAATTGATTTTTAATTAATTAAACTTTCTTTTCTGAAAATTAAATTGTATTCTGTATATGTTAATATTTAAATATAAATTCTAGTCAATCCCTTTATATTGGCCATACTTGAAAATAAGTAGTCTGAACTCACGTAAAACCCAACAAATAAATTGTTCGATATCATGTGAAACTTTGATAATAATTTGAGAAAATACTTTTCATTTTAATATGTGAAAAGTACTATTGATATTAGGTATATTTCGATCCAGCTCTCGCTGGACATCTCTCGACATTATGAAATTTAATTTTTGGATAACAAGAGTTTGATATTTAAATACTAAATAATATATTAATGTGATGGTGTCACGTTTTCATAATCGTGAGAATTATTTTAATAAAATACAGACAGCACATCCGCTGCCTGAGACTGATGAATTAACAAATAATATTTATTGCCAAATCGGCAATAAGTATAATTATTATAAAAACCCAATAGACCTGACCATCGTGGTCAGTCGACTCCAGTGCCTTGTGTCATTCATCAGTCTCAGTACTCGGTTGTCGCTGTCCGGCTTACTGTTTAAAGTAAAGTCTTTGTTTATTCCTCTTCTAACCTATATACTCTTTTCCTCGACATTTCAGAGTACTTGTGTCTTGCACTTCGTCTGCACCTCATACCTAGGTGTTACTCTTATTCTCCCTTCCTATAACAACAGCCTTTCGACACCCACAGCTAACCCGGAGTGTCAGCCGAGCACGGTGACTGCTGTACGACAACACGCACGTGAATACCTAGACAGCAGGCACCACCCCCTCATATTCGTCTTCGTACACACAGTTACACATTCACACTTTCACTACACCATTCTCTTTCCTGTGTTACGACAGAGTGGCGCCCAACAAAGGTAACGTATATATTACGTTAGGGTTGTTGTTATAGTATAAGAAAAAAATAATTATTAAACCAACTCATCCAACACTTGATGGCCAAAGAAGAATATTCAAAATCACTTATCGAACTTAATCCTACACCGTCAGAAGAAAACGAACGCTCATCTTACAAAATAGGTTGGGCACACAAGCTAAATTCTAACGAAGCCATATCTGAGTTAATCAAGAGAAAACTAACCACTGCCGGCACTTTAGAACAAAAGAGAGACCGCTTGGTTAGGTACATCAAAGGTCAGTGGCTTCCGGAAGATTTCGTTGTAGATCTTAACGAATCTTTTACAGTACCACATACCAAAAACATGGCTAATAATGACATCAAGAACCGTAGAAAGCCATTCTTCAAGCCAGGCCAGTTTAGAGGAGAAGTCCACGAAAGTGTAGACCTGTTTCTTAAGCGATACAAGAGGGCCAGCATTATAAATGAATGGAACGACGAAGAAAAAGTTCAGTTTTTACCAGCTTTCTTAGAAGGTACGGCTTTACATTTCTATGAAAATCTAGAAGAAAACACTGTCGGCCAAATCAAGTGGGAAGATCTAGAGTATAAAATAAGGTTAGAATTTGAGCCAACAGCTCAAACAGACATGATAAGAATGATATTACAAAAACGCCATCAACACCCGGACGAATCTGTAAGCTCTTATTTAAATGAAGCGGAAGCTTTATGCTTACGTATAAATAAAGACATGTCACAAAAAGAAAAAGTACATCTTATTATGAAGGGATTACGCCCCGACATTTTAAGAATGGTTTCGATGTTGGAAAATGACACCTTAGACAGTCTAAAAAAGAACATAAGAAAATGGGAGACTACAGAATTTCTCATAGAAGGCGATAGAAGTAAGTCTAGTTCAGAAATTAGAACAGACATTCTTAAGGAACAAATCCAACACATGTCAAACAAAAAACAAGAAAATGAGCTAGAGCAATTAAAAAGGCAAGTCAAAGAACTTTTAGATTTTCAGAAATTACGGACTAATACAGTAAAAAAATTTAATGGTAACACGTCCGGCAAAAACAGAAAATGTGATATTTGCCACAGGACTAACCACATTACTGAGAATTGTTTCCGTAACAAAAAATTAATAGTTCAATGCCAAATTTGTGAAAAATACGGCCACGAAGCAAATGTCTGCAGATCCAGAAAAAAGGAAGCAGATGACACAAAGTGTCAATTATGCCAGAGCCAAAATCACACAGCAAAAAATTGCAACTCAAAAAACTAGCTTTTAGGTTAAACGCTCACGCTAAGGACATACGTTCACCTTTAACCTTAGCAAAATCAAAAATAGAATCTCATCAATCAAAAAATATTATAAATAAAGTTAATAGAAGCAATAAAATTGAGTACGTACAATCGACAAGTCAATATTCTAGCGCAAAAGCATTGTACATCATAGCCACATTAAACCAAGCAGAAATAACAGTCACTATAGATACCGGGGCAAATCTAAATATATTAAACGCGGAATTAGCTAAAGAATACAACATTAAAAAGGTTGAAAATATGCTAATAACCGGAGCAGATAACAAGCCCTTGGATTTAATAGGAAAAACTATTATTCAAATCGTCATTGAGAACGAGCAGTTTGATGTAGACGTCTATGTTGTAAATAACTTAATAAGTTCGCTCATATTGGGAAACAGATTTCTATTCAATAATAAGGCTCATATTAACTTTAATTCAAATTTGATGATTATAAAAAATATTATAACTACGAAAATATACAACGCCGACCAAGTCGCAATAAAAAAAAACAATACAAATAACGTGAACAGTAAGAACGTTATTTCTACACTCACAACACAAATAGCCGCACAGAATAAATTTGCTGACAACACACGTTTAGCAAAACTACGAGAGGTCTTCGAAAAATATCAAATGGGCGAAAATGTTGCGGAAGACAACAATTGCGCATTGCATGCAATTTGCAATGCAATTAGCTCATCTAAACAAAAGAAAATCACACTTTGTGATTTATTGGTGTTATTAAAAATAAAAGACGTCCCAGGCTATTGGTTTTCAGATGAAGAAATTGCCAGCATATTAAATCACTATTCAATGGACACGTACATTTATTCTGAAAAACATAAATACGGAGTAATGTACGGAACGGGTGATCGAAATTTTGCGGTACTATATCATGTAAATAATGGTACTCATTGGCGGCCCGGCAAGCCGACTACAAAAACATCAAAGTACATACCGCAGCATATAGTAGAGATAAACGAATTTCTACCATTAAAAAAAATTATTCAGTCAGTACAGCTCCACGTGGAGCATAGTAAACAGTGCATAAAAAACGATAATGCAATTATCAATGAAATCGGAGTAGCTAACGCCACGAGCCACGGCCACCCAAATACAGAAACGATGATACAGGACAAAGCAACATCATTGTCAACTGTTCACACAGCTATGCATAACGAAACAATTAAAGAGCAATTAACCGACAATGACAACACGCCTATTAAGATATCATCACATTTATCCCAAGAACAACACGCTAAAGTAGTTGACCTAGTGAAAAAATACTTACACGTATTTTCTACGGACGCATCTAGATTAGAGCCAGCAAAAGTACCGCCATGTGAAATAAAACTAAAGGAAAACGTAAAAGAACCAAAATTTAATGCTCCACATAGAGTATCCCCTGCTCAAAGAGACATTTTGAAAAAAGAATTAGATAAATTACTTGACGTAGGAATAATTAAACACGCCATGTCAAAATATGCAGCAAACGCTTTTCTCGTCAAAAAGAAAGAAAAAGATCAACATCGTCTAGTAATAGACTACAAGGACTTAAACGAAAGAGTTGAACCTGACAACTATCCACTTCCACGATCTCAAGATTTGTTCAGAGCACTAGAAAACTCACAATTCTTCTCAAGTCTAGATCTTAATAATAGTTTTTTTCAAATTCCTATTAAAGAAGAGTGTCAACATTTACTTTCATTCACCAGTGCGTGTGGCTTAATGACGTTTTGCCGATTACCAATGGGTTTTCGCAACTCATCAGCAATATTCAGCAGAATAGTCAACAATGCTTTCTCAGAACTGTTATATAAATCACTTGTGATCTATATAGATGACCTAGCATGCTTCGGAAAGAGTTTTCCAGAAGCCTTGGAAAATCTCGAAAAAGTATTTAAAATTCTTGACAAAATCGGACTCAAAATAAAAACAAGTAAATGTATTTTATTCTCTGATAAAATAGACCTATTAGGCTTTCGGATAACACGCGACGGCATAACACCGTTGGACCGCAACATAAGAGCCATAACGGACTTTCCCCGCCCCAAAACGGTTAAAGACGTTAGAAGCTTTTTAGGACTTTGTTCATTTTACCGTAGACATATAAAATCGTTCGCACAGATCGCTAATTGCCTTACAGAGTTAACAAAAACAAAAAAATACGAGAAAATTAACTGGCAACAAGAACATACTGAAGCGTTTGGACAACTGAAAACCTTATTAACATCAAAACCTATTCTAGCACACTTTAACGATGATAGACCAACGAGCTTGACCGTTGACGCAAGTATTCGAGGGCTAGGTGGAGTACTAGAACAGACAGACGAAAACAACATTTCAAGAGTCATAGGTTATGCCTCTCGGAAGCTGTTAGAATCAGAAAAAACCTACAGCTCTACTACGTTAGAACTTCTAGGTCTGACCTTTGCTATCGAATTCTTCAGAGAGTACCTTTACGCCAGACATTTTACGGTATATAGTGATAACATTAGCTTAAAATATTACCGCAGCTTAAAAAATCCGTCAGCCCGCATATCTCGCTTAATTATCAAACTTTGGGATTACGACTTCAAAATAGTATTTACTAGAGGGCGAGATAATGTAGTGGCGGATGCACTATCCAGATACTCTTTAGAACACATAATAGACTCAGCAATATTCGGATATGAGAGTGGTCACGAACCGAATGTTCAAGTTCAATGTATTGGCAACATTCAAGAGTTATCAGCCACAGAAGAGAAAGAATTTTCTATTGCAGAAAAGCAACAAAAAGACCCTTTTTGCTTATCAATTCGAAACGCTTTAGAAGGCAAAGAATCAGATAAGAAAACAAATAGACTATCACGGAAATTCACCATAATATGTAACGTATTATACTTCAAATCATATAATCAAAATATAGGCAACTATAACTTACTGGTAGTACCCAAAGAAGTTACTACTAGAATATTAAAAGCATACCACGAAAGTCCAACGTCAGGACACGCAGGTATATCACGGACTATACATAAGCTACAGCAAAAATATTATTGGCCTTCTCTTTCGAAAGACACGGCAGCCTATATCAAATCATGCCATTCATGTCAAATCAACAAGAGAGCCACAGGGAAACCTACAGGATTATTACAGCCTATCCCAGTCATAGATGGAACTCCGTTATCTAGAGTAACTATTGACTTTCTCGGGCCACTATGCAATAGTAATGGAAAGAAACACGTAATAGTAGCAGCTTGCAACACGACCAAGTATATTTTCACCAAAGCAGTTCGCTCTGCAGACAGCGAGTCTGTCATAAAATTCCTTTTCGAATTAATTTTCAAATGGGGCTGCCCTCGATCTATAACAAGTGACCGGGGAACTCACTTTAAAAATAAGGAACTGGCACAAGTTTGTGACAACTTAGGCATCAAACAGAAGTTCAGCTCAGCCTACTCGCCTCAATCTCAAGGATTTGTAGAACGAACAAATGAGACGCTATGTACAGCTTTACGACATTATATGCAAGACAACAATCAGAATAGATGGTCACACTATTTACCAGCTGTCACTTTTAGCTACAACACTACACCGCAGTCTACAACTGGATTTTCGCCATTCTATCTAATGCATGGATTTCATGCTGCACAGCCTATAGACAACAAAATAATCCCTCAGCCTCTATCACATGACCTAAAGAAAGCGCTGGAAGACTTACATAATGTTAGAATGAAACTACCAGACATAATAGCAAAAGCTCAAAAAACGCAGAAAATCAACTATGATTTATCACACAAACACTTAGAATACAAACCAGGTCAATTAGTCTTAGTCAAATTTCCTTTTATAATAAAAAACCAATGTGCAAAATTAGGCCACCAATATCGTGGTCCATTTAAAATAATTAATAAAATAAATGACGTAAATTATGAAGTAGAACTAATCCTAAATAAAAATGTCGTGAAGGATACCATACACATTAGACGACTAAAACCGTACTACAATAGAGACAATGATGATAAAAACCACAGCGTTGAGACTATTGTGCATGGGCATAACAGCGATAGCATTCACACAACTGATTCAAGCGGAAGAAATAAAAAGCCCGACGATTATATTTACAAAGTTACGTCAAATATGATTGGTCAGAAGTCATTAAACAATATTATTGAACCGAAATCAGAAGTAACATAATAAAACTTCAAGCCCTGCAAAAACTTCCTACTACCCAACAAGCTTTATTCCAAGCAAATCCCCCCTGAAAACAAAGCAAGATTAAAAACAATCTATACAGCCTGATCATTAATCAAAACATCAAGGACTACAAAAGAAAAGCAAAAAGAACAATATCGTTCCACAACCAAATCATACACCAAATGTAGGAAAGTAGGCGGATCAAAAAATATATATATAAAAAAAAAAAAAATGTAAACTAAATTAGTTAAGTTAAATTATTTTGTTCTCATAAAATATTCATTTATTTGTTCATTTTAATTGTTCATTACCACGGGGACGTGGCACCAAAAAGACATGGGTGGATGTGATGGTGTCACGTTTTCATAATCGTGAGAATTATTTTAATAAAATACAGACAGCACATCCGCTGCCTGAGACTGGTGAATTAACAAATAATATTTATTGCCAAATCGGCAATAGGTGTAATTATTATAAAAACCCAATAGACCTGACCATCGTGGTCAGTCGACTCCAGTGCCTTGTGTCATTCATCAGTCTCAGTACTCGGTTGTCGCTGTCCGGCTTACTGTTTAAAGTAAAGTCTTTGTTTATTCCTTTTCTAACCTATATACTCTTTTCCTCGACATTTCAGAGTATTTGTGTCTTGCACTTCGTCTGCACCTCATACCTAGGTGTTACTCTTATTCTCCCTTCCTATAACAACAGCCTTTCGACACCCACAGCTAACCCGGAGTGTCAGCCGAGCACGGTGACTGCTGTACGACAACACGCACGTGAATACCTAGACAGCAGGCACCACCCCCTCATATTCGTCTTCGTACACACAGTTACACATTCACACTTTCACTACACCATTCTCTTTCCTGTGTTACGACATTAACTAATTTTTCAATAGACTTCTGAAAAATCATTAATATTGACTTGCACCAGTTTTACTCTTACTCCCATATATTTATTAGAAATTGACTCTACTGTTCCACGTTTTCTTGTAATCTGTATAATATTTCTATAAAAGTCTAGTCATGGTTTTAATTATCTAATTTTTAATAATTCATAAGGAAATTTAAACTTAAGTGTAACTAGAATAAAATTTTCAAAAGGCTAAATTTATTATTCTCCACACCATGAAAAATAATTTATACAACAATTATATTGTATATAACAAAAAGTATAATTGTCTTCATTTTTGAGGTGTCCAAGGACCTTCAGCTTTCTATATATGATAAGTTTAAAAAAATGTATAATTTTTCCATTAATTTTTTTTTTAAGTAATAATATATATTAGTAGTAATAATTATGAAATAACATATTCATAAGGTAAATTTATACACAATTTTCATTTTAAAATATTCTTTACTTGTAAAAATGTTGAATTAATATCAAAACATAAGCCTGTCATAGCAAAACATGACAATTAAAAATCATGTCTCANATCAAAACATAAGCCTGTCATAGCAAAACATGACAATTAAAAATCATGTCTCATCAAAAATTTACTAACAAAGAAAATGGCTTATTTAATATGTTATATTTAAAGGAAATTAAAAATATCAAATATGATGAATTCAAACAACAAAAGTATAAGCAAATTTAAGATTTCAAAAATATTGATTAAATACTGTTTTTTTTTTACAGATAATTGCAAGTCTATAAAGCTTTAAAAAAAAATTGTATTTTTGGTTTATGGTTATAAGCTATATTACAATATATGAAATATACATTTTTCATTTTTTATCATTTTACAATATAATTTTATTTATTATTAAATTCAATAAATTTTTAGGAATTCAGGTGTAATTAGGTGACCCATAAGAATGGCCCCCAAAATAAACTTAAAAAAATTGGCAGCAGTTTTAAAAAAATATAAATGTGATCCATGTTTTTGGAAAAATATTAATATTGGTGATGAAGTTATCTATGCTGCTGCCAAAGCATGTTTGAATAATACATCATCAATTTCACGCAAAAGAATTGCTCTTGTAAGTTAAATATATGTTTTAACTAAGGAACTAGGTTTACATTATTTTTTTATAATAACTATGCAATTGTTTTATTAAGACTTATATCAATATATACAAAATATATTATTTTAAATTTATATATATGAGTATATAGAGAATAGAGGTTTAATCGTGTTTTTCTTAGTATGATTAACTAATGTAATTTATTCGAGAGCTCCATTTATAATTTTTTTTATCTAATAACTATTTATAATTTGTTAGAAAAATAATTTATATGAAGTAAATTAATTTTGTTTTCAGATTTTAGTGGAAGGAAGATGCAATATTTTAAATGTTTATAATGGAATCCAGGAGCAAAAAACAAATTTCATGGATCAAGTAAGGTGTATTTTATTGAATCAAATTGTAAATGTTACAGATGTGAATTCAGACATTATTCTAAAAGTTTGTAAGAAATTAGGTTTTAATTTTAATAAAAAGTCCAAGATTCAGAAAACTTTGATCATAGAAAAAGTAAGGTTAAGTATATCTAGAATTATTAATGAATTTAAAACTACTGGATTGAAAAATAATATTGCAAATTATGCAACTGAAATAAAAGAATTAAATAAAAATGAATTGGTGGAAAAATGTGTGATTGAAAATTCTAATATTCAAGAGGTAATTATTCATAAATAATAAAATGATATTAATACTAATTTTTCTATATTTCAATGGTAACTTGATGTGACTTGTAAAAATTCCAATTAAAAAAATCATAACATTAAAAAAAAATCTTTTGTAGTATTTATTTGATTTAAATATCCAAATAAATAAATTATGATATTATTTGTAATATAACTTCCATTGCCAACTTATTGATATGAAAATTTTCATAAAAATATTAGTTTTATGCACAATTTTGTAGAGTGTGCTTGTTTCAAATAAGAATTATTAATATCTTTGCTTTACGAGGTCAAATTAAATTATGACTAATTTTTAAATTTTAATAAATAATTAAAATTAATTGAGGGGTAGGCCTATCAAAAAAATATTTTTTTTTAATCAGCTATCTTTGCAAACCCATTAATTCGAAATTAGTTATAATAATTTTGTTATATTTTAGCATGACAATTTGCTTAATAATGATGATAATCTGGATGTGATGTCTGTGACAAATATGGTTCATGATGAATTTATTGATACTAATATGGAAGAAATAAACTGTAGTATTGAAAGTAACTTAAGTATTAAACTTTTGCAAAATAATGCCGTGATTGATGATTCATCTAAAAATGTTATGAATAATGAAGAGTATTATGTATTAAATACACCAGACTATGAATATGTTGATGAAAATTGTATTCGAGTTGTTGAGGAACCTGAAATTACCGTAATACCTTCATCTGAGAAAATACCAACCGAATCGCATACAACAATGAGTAATTCATTTATTACACCTCCTAAAAAAATATTTAATATGGACAGCTGTCCAACAAGCCAATTGTGGAATAACGAGAAATTCATTGCAGCATCAAATATCAATACTAAAGACTTTTTTGTCACACCTTCAAGAAAGAATATATTGAGCAAGGACAAATGTCAAAAAAGGTTATTTTGCGATGATGAGGTTATCAGCCGTCCGGAAATGATAAGTTTGCTGAGAAATAAAGGTGAACTAAGAGGACTAGATATAAGTCCAGTCAAAAGTCCTTTGAAAAGATTAAGGGAAAGAAATTTGAACATATGTCAAGAATTTGGTCTCCCCAAAGGTACAATAAATGTATCGCCCAAGTCTTTAAGAAGTAAATATGAGGCGTGCAATTTTAAAGAAGGAGTTTTTTTCATACCACCAGAAGAATGGAAACAAATTTATATAAATGGTAAACTAGATATCAAAACCTATCCAATGGTATTTAGGAAGTACTTGGAATCTATTAACAATACTTGTATATTGTACATTAAGAAAAAGTTCAATGCCAATAAGAAAGGTGAAATAAAGATTAATGTATATTGTAAGATGCCAGATTGTAAAGTAATGAGGCTTTTTGTGACGCCTAGTAATGGTGGTGTAGAAGTTGTTGTATGGAGTTCTAGTCGAAATTTCAGTCACTCTCCAAAGGATCGCATGACTTGTCAGATAAGAGGACACGAAAGAAAAATTATAGGTGATAAATTAAAAAATACAACTGCATTTAAATATCAAGATGAATGTATTTTGTCTGCATCGCCCACTAAAGTTTTACGAAGTGGAAACATGCAGTCTGTCAAAACATTAACGACACTACGTAAATTGAGTAGTGAACAACAATTAAAGGCAGATTATGATAAACATGATTCATTTGATGTAGTCCTTATGGCGCAGGAAGAAAAAAATAAATGGTTAAATATGATTGTTAATCCTTATCCATTTAATGTGAAATGGACCTCTGATTATCATTTGTTGATTTTACAAAAATTGAGTAAAAGTGGAAAATTTAAAACGCTTCATATAGATGCTACAGGATCTTTGGTTAGGCCACCTAATGAAAAAAAAGAAACCATTTATTATTATGCTGCAATTTTTCAGATAGACAAAATTGAAAATATTTGTCCAGTAACAGAAATGATAAGTAGTACGCATGATAGGCTAACTATTGAAAGCTGGCTGACTTCATTCAAAGAAAAGTTTATAAATGAATTTGGTCTTTCATGGTCCCCTTTCAAGAATGTTGTTACAGACTTCAGTTGGGCTTTCATGCATGGAATATCCAAAGTGTGGAATAACAAAAATAGNTGGAATATCCAAAGCGTGGAATAACAAAAATAATATTTTTGAATACCTTGATTTGTGTCATCAAGTTTTAACAAAAAAAAATGTAAAATTTCCAGACAATGATGTTGTAGTAAGTACATGCAGCAACCATTACATAAAAAATGTTGTAAAGCATGCAAAAACAATTTTTAATGATGAAAGCAAGGCATATTATGTATCAAAATGTGTTGGCCTCGTATTTGATATGGATAATTATGAAGAGATAAAAAATTGGTTCAGACTATTAAGCAGAATACTTCTTTCCAAATATGTAACACCTTTATGTAATAGTGCTAGGGCAGAAATTAATTTTCTTTTTAAAGGCAAACCCTCTAAATGAAAAACCATTTTATGCTGAGTGTAAGAAATCTGCTTTCTATTATGATTTCAAAGAAATATTAGATGCTGTTTACATAGAAATATCCAATACGGTTGATGACCAGGGAAAAAATGACATGTATTCTGAGACATATTTGTTACATTTTCTCATTGAGAATATACCCTACATTCCACTATGGAGTAGAGTGATAACAGCAAAAATTGGCTTGGAAAAACGTCAGAGCAACGCAACTGCAGAAAGTTGGTTTAATATCATTAAAAATCATGTTCTAGGTAACCAAAGAAAAATGAAATGTGGAAGGTTTATAGAAAAAACCAGTGCACGGGTAACTGCTATTTGGAGCCGTTGTGGATTGATAATTCCTAAAAATGTGCTTGCAATCAGACCTAAAAATAATGCTAATAATGATGATGAGTTGCACCTGAATGATAAAGAATTCTGGCTTAAAAAAGGTAAAAAACCTTCTAATCTTGTTAACTTGGGAACTATTTTAAGACCACAAAAAAGTATGAATACATTCAAAAATACTAAAAGTATAAGTGAAAATGATAAAACAAATGAAGTGTTGAATCGAAAGTTTGTTTCTGAGGTAAGTGTGCAAAAAGATATTGAACCTTCAGAGGACATTGGTAATGCTCATTACAGTAGTATAGAAATTTTAAATGTTGATTGTATAAACGAAACACTTGATTTAGTTGAAAAATATAAAAACGATGACACTAATAAAGATTCTTCTGTTATATCCTATGGTCATACTGTAGTATGGGAGCCATCTGGAGATGAATCACCAGTTGGGAAGTATAAGATGTACCGTACAAGTAATTTAATTAAAGATGGATTATATTATATGCATGGTTATCCAGGGTGTAAAAATTACATAGTTGCCAGAATGTCTTTTGGAAATGAGACGGTTGAAATATCTTCTGAAGACTTCAAACATTTAGATACTAAGGGCGAAAATAATGAACTTTGGTTAGAAAATAAAGAAATTTGGTGTTTGTTACAGATTTGTCTAAAAAGAAGTGAACGAACTTGGGTCAAACAAAAACAACAGATGCTGGGATGTATGAGTCCAGATATATCGTACTATATGATCAATTTGGGAAAAAGAATTGAACCTCCAAATGAAAATGGTAAAATTGAAGGTATGGGTGGGTTGGATTGAATTTTCTAGAGTACTTATTCCTTTATTAGAAAATAATAGCCATTGGACACTGATGTTAGTAGATTTTACTAAAAAAAAGTAAGTTATTTAAATTCTTCTAGATTAGGTCATGAAGACTTATCACTAAAATTAATATGAAAGTTAAAGTTTTAAATAGTTTGAAAAAAACGCTAATGAGTTGGAATAGAGTACAAGTAATTGGTAATATTACAGAGTGGGAGATAAATGATGTGACTATACCCTATCAAAATGATAGTTTTAATTGTGGCGTTTTTATGTTATATTTTGCAGATCAATTGATGACAAATAAAATAATTATGAACAAATTCAATCCAAATGATTACAGAAAGAAATTACAAAATTTGATTTTGAGTAATTCGGAGTGTATGAAAAACAATTGTCTAATCTGTGGTGTTGATGAAGGTAGTTTTAACGAGAAAAGCAAAAAGATTGACAAAAGAAGTGGAGAAATGGTACAATGTGAGTCTTGTACTCGATGGTTACATATCAATTGTTTACCGAAAAAAGATCCATTGCCTGACAATGATATCAAGTGGATCTGTGGACTTTGTTCTGCAAATGGTATTTAATTATATTGTCACAGAATTTCTGATTGGGAAAGAAATCTGTGTGTGTTAGTTGTTAACTTATTAGTGCTACAATTTAATCTTATAATTATTTTTCGTTTTCATCTTCACTAAATTCCATCGACTCATTAAACATCTGATCTTTTATGATAGTATATACTATTCCAAGACTAGTGTTAGAAATGACTGTGTGGTGCTATTTAATGGTTGCTGTACATTTCTATTTTTTAAGTTTTGACTCTTTTAATGAAAATTGACATAAAAAAAAGCAGCTTAAAATTTAAAATGCTCATTCGGCGAATTTTATGATATACACCCCCTTTTCATATAAACATTAGTTAGACGGGCCACTGGAAAGCACTAATTTGTTAATAATGAACATGATGTAGACTGCCCAATGGTGAGTACATTACATAGTGGAGTTTCTGATCAGAAAAGAAATCCACGCTAAAGCCTTTAGGGAAAGGCTTAAGCTCTTTAGGGAAAGGCGTTCACGTCTTTAGGGAAAGACGTCCTTATTAGATACTCGTTATCTGATGGGGTAACTCTGCCAAAGCTGGTCCCAAGCCCAGTCGAAAAAAGAGGAGGGAACCATCAGATATATTTTCATATTGTATTTAAATAAATAGTTTTTACTTAAATTAATAATATTACATTTATAAGTTCAATAAATGACTAATATTTTAATATAGAATTATGAATTTTATCTAAATATTAAATAAATTATTAAGTTTAAAATTGACTTATACAATAAACAAACTAATTTTTTTGTATTGATATAGTAAACATGTTTGTAAAATTTTCTATTAGAAAAACTTAATTTCGCAGAGTACAAGTGATGGGTTTATTGCCCCCTATAATGATTTCTACATCATATATTAATACATGCCAATGTGTATTTGTACATATCGGTTTATAGGATTTCAATATTTCTGAAATATTGATAGTTTCTTTGGGAGAGGGTTATTGCATTGTTTGTATCCTTTATAAATACTTTTTCTAATAGGAAATTTTGATCAATGTCTTGACACGACTTAAGGAATTGATCCTAAGTGTATTTGAATGTATAAATACTTGTGAGTATTGATATTTCTTATATAAATGTTATATTTTGTTTAGAGTGGAAGTTGTGTTATATGGGATCCTTTCAATTGTATACATTTTTATATAGTTTTATAATGTATTAAATTGTTGTATATGTTATAAATATTTTTTGCACTTATATATTTATGTTTACTTTAGAATATATATTTATATTATATTTTTTATATATGACTGTGTTATTTTTACAAGGATTTTCGTTATACATTTTCAATTTTCGAAGTTAAGAAAAAATTAATTTAGGAGATTATTACCATAATAATTTCATTTAATAATTAGAATAATAAAAAAACAATTATTATCAAAAAGTATTATTATATATTATACATTCGTATAATACATGCCCACCTCAATAATAACTAAAACTAAAATTATACATTTTTGCTGTCCTTTTTTTTCATTGTATAATAATTATAATATATATACATTTTATAATTATAATGATGAAATTAATATTATTGGTACTTCTTTCCCTTGAACTCTAACAGTCAGGCAACCCAATAAACACTGTTATGGTTACCGTCTTATCAGTTTGTTGTTGGGCGCTGAGTCTCGGGAGCTAACTTCATAGACGTAAAAATAACTAAATAGACCTTATTTCAAATTTAGCAATTTTATGTCTGATGTATTGTTTTTTAACCTATAATAAATTTTAAAAATGTTCAAATGATATTTCTACACGTAATTCACTTTAATAAATATACAGAATGTTTGAAAAGTAAGAAAACATGTCAATTGTTTCAAACAATTCAAAACAAAAATGAGAACAACAGAAACTGTTTCCTTATTTACCGAAAATCTATATATCAATTTTGTAACCCAATTATATAAGTACGTTGCTATAGTACAAAATAATGATTTTTAATAAAGAATTAAGTATTTAATTATCTGCAAGAAAAATTATGTTTATAATTAAGCTATGTATTATCTTAGTATCATTATAGTGAACATAAAGGTAAAACTTTAAAGGAGGCACTTATTTTATTCTCAAGTTAGTTGAATATAGTCTTGTAAATAATACTTTGTTTTGTATTCAGTAAAAATATTTAAAAAAATGATTGAAAAGATATTCATAATATGTTTTTGAGTTATAATATATTATTAATAACTAAATAAATATATATACTCAAAATATAATTTTAAATACTTGAAAAATTATTTAAATACTTTGAGAATATTTTAAAAAAAATAGTCTATTTAATACAAAATAATTATTACAGTTATGAAATAAAAATTTTATTATACAATATTTTCCTGTAATCCTATCAGTCTTAAAATTCAATTTAGTATAATTCGTCAACATTATAGTTTTAGATATTGATATACTAAATTTCAGTGATATTTATTACAATATATATTAATAACTCATTATTTATTTTATCTTTTTTTAATCCTATTTCTTTGTTGCCCTTCATCCAAAACTTGATTAACTTTTTTACAACACCAAAGCATACATTGTGCATGTAATCTAATACCAACAGTATTTATGATATCAATAGGTAACTTAATTAATGAACTATTTCTTTTATTATTTATTTACTTAAATGTTATTTATGGTAATTTACATCTGAAGGACTCGTAAGTTCTTAATGGTGCATTTAAGCCAGGATAAGTTAAACAATGTTCTAAATATCTACCCTCAGCAATACATGATTCATGATAGTCAAAATAGGCATTGTAACCTTTTATATTAAGCAAAAAAGCTTTTGCAGGGGAATCTCATGCAATATTTGAAATTTTTATGGTAATAATAACCCGTTATGTAACATTTCGAATTTATCAATAATAAATGAATTTAAAAATTCTTTAACTAAATGAAGCTTTTGAAATCCGTGAAAAATGCCTATAGGATAAAATTTTCTTTTAAATCTTTAAAATTTAAATTAATATCAACTAAAGCTGACTTTTAGAACTTTTAGACACGGACAGTACATCTATATTAATACCTATATCTAGCACTTATGATTTAATATATATCTGTGCATTATTTTGAACTACAATAGGTAGCAACATATTATTTATACCTAAATGTAAGTACAATCCACTAGAAATATCAACAATATCATGAATTTTAAGGGTTTTCATTAGTTTACATTATTAGGTGTTCTAATATCTTTTGGAACATCTAAACCTAAGCTTTTTAATAATTGAAGCATGATATTACAAAAATTATGGAAAATTTTGAATTTTACAAATAATAAGCGCAATTTTTTTGATATACTTAAGTTGCTTGTAATATCATTATCTAAGATAGGGTTCAAAGTGTCACAATTGGTTTTTTTTGGTTCACTAGAAGAGTTAACACACATATTTGAGTTAATAGACTGAGTGGTTTTGTAATTTAACAAATGATCAGGTATCATAGAATATTTTAAAAGTATAAATAATTGTGGTAAAACATTGTTGACATTATCAGTTTCAATACATTTTGTGTTATTATCACTTACTACAGTTCTAAAATTCAAAGATATGTTTTGTTGTTCAGCTTTAAGTATTCCTTGGAAATGTCTTAATGAAATTAATGATAAACTTTGTCTTTTTTTGAATCACAAATCTAAACAAAAATAAGTACTATAATTTTACCTGAAATAAATAGTATACACTAAAGTGTCAGATATAATTCATTCTAAAAAAATTAATTAGATCACATTGGAATAATACTTGACAATTAGTATTCAAATTATATGTAAATTATATACATATGAACAATAAAAAAAAACTTTATATAAGTTTATTTTAAATGTTATTTGTTTAACCAAGAAACTCCATCCATTATTTGTATTCTTACATAAATAATAATACTTTAAACTTTACACTAACTTTTGAAAAAACTAATTGAAAATTGGGATAAATATACTAGTTGGTCATTGTAAAATTTAAATAATAATTTTTTGAATTAGCTTCCAATACCTCAACTTTTGTAAGTACACAATTTAAAATTAGATTGAAAACCACTAACTCTTTTCTGATGTTTACTTGTTCCATTTGGATATTAGCAATATTTCAAGAACTTTCTTATTTATACTACCACTCTCTATGTAATGAAATAATAAAAAATAAATATTTCAATAGTTTATAATAATAGAAAAGAATCTGATTAATAAATTTGGTAGTTTAAAATTATTTAACTAACTTGGAGTTAAATACATTGCATTCGTAGTTGGTATTTTTTAAGAAATTTGGCCTATCATGACTTATAAAAATATTTGTAAATCCTTATTAATTTATGTATTATAATGTTTTAAACTAAATCAATAAGTAATATTAGAAAAAAACCATCCATATAAATTTTTTTATGTAAACAATATTTTATGACTTACAAAATAAGTTCCATTCTCCCATTTTAATTTGATCCACTTTTAATACTGGATATAAAACAATTAAATTTTGAATTATAACTGCACTCACTGATATTATCGTATAAGATATTACAAGCAATATCTGGTTCATATGAGTACATCTGCATTTCATTAGTATTTTCAACCTGAATTATTGCCTGCTACCAATTAGATAAATATAGTACACATATAAAAAAAAATTATTCAAGTATTAATTTTGTTTAATAGTATTATATTAATTAAAATTGAATTATTTATGTATTTAAATTAGATAAAATGGCTATTGTATTATCTTATTAACAACATTATCAGGTATGCATAATGTAGACAAACTAGCTACGATTTGTACAGCATGTGATGTTCTAGAACATCACATGCTATACAAATCTAGATGGTAGATCATATTCTAAATCTTCATCAGATTTCCTTGTCAATAATTTAGTGAAACTTGATACATATGTGTTAATCAGTGTTAAGCTACAATATAAATAGAAAATTTTAAAAATATCTTATTTTCAAAGAAATAATAGAAGTATAAAAATAATAGGTTTACCTTCAAAATCACTGCCATCAGATGATGAACTATTTTGATGGTTCTTTTTCTTTTTGGTGCTTTGAACTCATTTTCTGTAGCAGAGATTTCAATTTCAACATGCTGATACCATGCTTCTTGGAAATTTGCTAAGTAAACAAAAACAATTAAAATTTGAAATACAAGTAAGATACCGATATAAAGTTTATTTTAATTATTTCTAATCTGATAAAAATTTTTTAAATTTATATGAAAAACGAAGTACTAACCATATATTTTATCATTCAATATTTTTATTTTGAATGAACACCATAAATTCCCAGGATCATTAACTTTAAAAAGCTCAACACTTGTACCTTAAAAGGAGGCCAACGACAAAACTGAACATCTGATAGATTTAATATTAATTACAGAAAAATATTCTAACAGTGGTGGTGCAATAAACCAATTAATAGGCACAATGCTATAGTCTTTAGTTTCTGTGAAAACAATACTAACCCATTGCTTATATGACCTGATCTAATGAAAACAAAATTAATGATATTAAATTGAAACCCAATTCTCATACATTATAGTTGGTAAATAAAACATGAACTTAATTTTGGAACACCAGCAGTTGTTAGACAATTGGAATTATGTTTAATAAAATAAATATACAACACAGTACACTAAAAAATGTATTACAAGTACATGTGCGAATGCTGCAAATAAATTTAACTAATTCGATGGCCGACATTATGGATACTAACACACATACACACGAATCGACAGGTGCGTCTCCAGTGAAACCATACAAAACGAATTATGTCTAATAATAGTATAATGGTTGATAACTGGATGACAAGAGAAAACATACATCACTAAGATGTTATTGTGAAACATCGTAGGGGCAGTAATATTTGAAACGTTGTAGAAATAAAAACAAAGTTAGATTTTACGGGCAGTTGCAATGAAACAACTCTTGATTGATTTTGAAGCATTGCAATGTGATGTTTCAAAAGTAACAAGAAATATACATTCCAGAGATGTTGGTAACATCAAATGTTTAGTGGGTTCGGATTTCTATAGAAATCCGATTCCTTACTTACTGAACACCCTTCTAAATATTGTTTATATTCAATGGATGAAATTGTTCTTTAGTTAAAATAGTTGGGTCCAGTATAGATGATATCTGACAGTGATTAAAATCACTATCATAAAAAACCCTTCAATGCAAATCTGTAGATAGTCTTTAATTTTA